GGCACTACACACAGGTGGTGCACATACATGCATGCAAGCAAAATGTCACTATACATAAAATAACAAAATAGAAAAGAAATAAGGTGGGGCATGGTAGCACTCAGATATAATCCCAACATTTGGGAGATAGGTAGGCAGATCTCTGAGTTCAAGGTCTATTGACTGAAGTTTGCCCAGTCCTGAAGCCATCTAATCCTGCATAAACACACAGAGGCTTATATTAATTATAAACTATTGGGCCAATGGCTCAGGCTTCTTACTGGCCAGCTTTCTTACTTATTAACCCATTTCTATTAACCTGTGTATCTCCACGTGGTCTTGGCTTGCCTATGATGTCTGGATCTCTTGCTTTCCCAGCAGCTACATGGCGTCTCCATTATTCTACCTACTTACTACCTTTCTCTGTCCCTGTTTGGATTTCCTGCCTGGCCAAATCCTGCCTTTTCATTGGCTGAACCAGCTTTATTCATCAACCAATAAGAGAAACATATTCACAGGATATATGCCTTTAATCCCAGAACTTTGGAGGCAGAAGCAGGTGGATCAAGGTCAGCCTGGTAGACATAGTGTGTTCCAGAACCAGAGCTACAGAGCTATGGAGTGAGACCTTGTCTCAAAATAAACAAAAGAATCTGTGGTCTGTTCAGCTGAGGCTGAAGAGTTAGCTACAATTAACAGGAGACCAGTGACACTGGAGTGAAACCTTTGCTGTCCTAGGACAATTGATGCTGGTCAGCTGGAATGGAGAACTAAGCCAGTGAGACTGGAAGTGATGGTTATAACCCTGGAAGGATTTTATCAAGTGTCAGTCCTTTAAGCTGTGTTCCAGAGGCAGCCAAGTTTATGTATGTCGTGCTGGTAGCTGAACTTGGTTGGTCATAGGTAAGAGAGCACTTGAAGCCTGGTACTTTGAGAGGCCAGGAGAAGCCATCGGTGAAGGTGCAGCTTCAACAGTGGTGAAAAACACAGGGTTGAAGGAGTTGTGGGGAGAAGCTGAGGCTTGGCACCATGTGGCAGAGTCAAAGTCCCTGAAGAAAGCAGGAGAAGTTACTGATGGAGGTGCAGCCCAGTGGCAGCAAAGATGGTATATTTTGGAGTAGCTGGTGATGGGTTGACTGCCAAGGATGACAGCAGCAGCTGTGGCTTGGAGCCTGCCTGAGCCTGAGAATGAACTGCTTGAGCACTGGCGAAATAGGACTGGTGCCAGACATGAGTGCCAGGCCAGCACCAAGGGCTGGCACCCTATCCCTGTTCAACTTTGATTTTGTTTTGACCTAACTTCTCTTGTTCTTTTCTTTTATCCCAAGACAGGATTTCTCTGTGTAGTACTGTAGTACTGGCTGTCCTAGAACTTGCTCTGTAGACCAGGCTGGCCTCGAACTCACAGAGATCCACCTGCCTCTGCCTCCCAAATGCTGGGATTAAAGGAGTGCACTACCATCACCAGGGTATTATTTTTTTTGGGGGGGAGAGGGTTCTGACTGCCCTGGTTCTTACTTCATGGAACAAAAAAGTATTTAACTTATTTTTTATTTTACAAGGATCCACAGCTGAGAAACTTTGAAATATTAAAGAGAATCCAAAGTTTTTAACTTTGGAATTTCAGAGATTTATGATGTTTTAGAGAAACTCTGGACATTTTAAAGAGACTGAATTTTAAAAGTGTCTGAATTTGTAAAGACTATGGGTCTGTTAAAAGTTGAAATGTGAAGCCAGATAGTGGTGACACATGCCTTTAATACCAGCACTCAGGAGGAAGAGGCAGGCAGATTTCTGCAAGTTTGAGATCAGTCTGGTCTACAGAATGAAATTCATGACAGCTAGGGCTACACAGAGAAAACCTGTCTTGAAAAAACAAAACAAAAAGTTGAAATTTTTATATTGTGATACTATGTGCCATCTTGGGAACAAGTGAAAAATACAAAGTTCTAGTTGAATGTTGATGTGTCTTGAGTGTCAAGTTGACAAGGGGTCAATTGTGCTAGCTAGTTTTAATGTCAACTTTATACAAGCTAGAATCATTTTAGAAAAAGGAATGGAATCATAATAGAGAAGATGTCCCCAACAGATTGGCCTACGTGCAAGCCTATAGTTCACTTTCTTGATTGATGACTAATGTGGGAGAATAGAGCCCAGTGTTGGTGGGGCCACCCCTGGGCTGGTGGTCCTGGGTTCTATAGGAAAGCAGGCTGAGCCAGCCAGTAAGCTGCACCCTCCATGGTGTCTGCATCAGCTCCTGCTTCTAGGTTCCTGCCCTGCTTGAATTCCTGTCCTGACTTCCTTTGATGATGGTCAGTGATATGGAATTGTAAGCCAAATAAACCCTTCCCTCCCCAAGTTGCTTTTAAGTAATGGTATTTCATCACTGGAATAGAAACCTAAGAAAGCAGGAGTGCACCAACTTGGCACCATGTTACCTTCCCAGGCCTACACTGTTATAATGGCCTTTCCTATTTTATTCCTGGACAAGTTTTTTTCTATCACCTTGACTAGTCTTGCTAGGGATTAAAAATTTTTTTGTAAGTGTATGTGTATGTGTGTGTCTATGTGGTGTGAGACCTTGTGCCCTAATGCCCACACAGAGGTCAGAGGATGGCCTGTGGTACTCATCCTCTCTTCCACAATATGTATTCCAGGGATGAAACGTGGGTCACTAGGCTCAGTGACAACCGCTTTTGCCTACTAATCCATCATAACAACCTTTTAAAATTAATTTTTTCTTTCTTTTTTGTTTTGTTTTGAAGACAGGGTTTCTGTGTAGTCCTTGCTGTCCTTGAGAGCTAGGATTAAAAGTATGTACCAGCCACCACTGCTGGCCTTGTTTTTTGTTTGTTTGTTTGCTTTTTTAAAGAGTTTCTCACAGAGCTGGAGAGATGGCTCAGTGATTATGAACAGAGGTCCCTGGTTCAATTCCCAGCAACCACATGGCAGCTCCTTGCTGTCTAGAACTCCAGTTCTAGGAGACTCAACACTCCCACACAGACATACATGCAGGTGATGGTAGAACTTGCCTTTAATCCCAGTATTTCTGAGGCAAAGGCAGGTGGATCAAGAGAGAGAGAGTGTGTGTGTGTGTCTCATTATGTAGTTCAAGTTGTCCTGTAATTCACTATGTAGACTGCCTCTCCAGTGCTGGGATTAAAGGTGTGCACCATTATGCCCAGCAAAAGGTTGTTTTTTTGTTTTGTTTTGTTTTTTTGTTTTTTTTTTTTTTTTGAGACAGGGTCTCAGCTGTAAAGCCAGAGCTACACAGAGAATCCTGACTCAGAAAAGAAATTAAATTAAATATAAAAAAAGAGACAGGGTCTCCCTTGTCTTGGTCAGGATATAGCCCAGGCTTTGCCTGAGCTGAGCCTGGGAGGTGTTTCTTTTTCAGTGTGTTTTTTTTTTTTCATGGAAAAAATATTTTGAAATTATTTTAATTTAGAAATAGAAAACCTCTTAGGGAGGAGGAAGGGAAGAAAAAAAACCCCACAAAGTATCCAGGTAACAAAAACCCACAAAGTATCCAGGCAACTTTTTACTTCATGAGCTTTTCCCACCCTCATTTGCTCACTAGTTCCCATGAAGAGAGAGCAATCAGCCACCCACAATAATGTTATTAATAGGAATATGGATCAGTTTCACAAAGAAGCCAACGAATCCCACGATAGCAAATCCTATGGCTGTGGCCATGGTAATCTTCTGGAATTCTTTCCTATCAGGTGGTGCATCTTTTAACCAGCCGAATTGAGTCCTTGACGAACTGCCTACTTGGCTCAACAAACTGCATTACCTGGTCCATGACTGGCTGTTGCAGGGACGTCGGTTTGAGAAGATAGAGACATGTAGCTTAGAAGAGGAGTGAGCCCCTTTGGTGTGTTTTATGGGTGTTTTGCTTGCATGTGCAGCCTGTGTGTAGTGCCCAAGAATCCAAAAGAGCAGCCATGAGGGTCCTGGGAACCAAACCCAGGAGCTTTGGAGGGGCAGCTGGTATTCTTAACCACAGAGCTGTCTGTCTCCAGCTCAGGATGTTTCTTTTTCCTGTGATAAAAACTACCAAGATAACTCACAGAAGGAGGTATTTATTTGAGGTTATGGTTCCAGAGGTAAAATCCATGGGAGCTCATGTGGTAGCTAGAACCACAAACAGGAAGCCAAGAGCAAACTGGGAATGGAGGCATTGGAACTCTCAGAGCTGCCATCAGTAGCACACTTCCTCCATCAAGGCCATGCCTCCTGAACCTCCCAAATAATGCCACCAACTGCAGTGTTCAAATGCCATAGCCTTTGGGGACATTCTCCTTTAGAACACCATAATGATCAAAAAGTGCCCCCTACTGTAGACTTTTAGGCATATTTTAGGATTGATTTTGGAAACAAAATAAAATATTTCAACTTGGAGGTATATGGACTGTACAGGAATTTACACAGCCAAGTTTCACATTTTCTATCTGGGAAGCCTTGAAGCCTTTATCTAACCCTGCAAACCACTACGTGTGGAGCTCCTGAGAGCTAGACCAGTCTCCCACTTGCCCAGCCCCTCACTGGGGGGAGTCTAGGCAAGCATTCCTAGGCCTAGGAGCCAGGCCCCTTGATTAAAACATTGCATTTGCTGTCGTGAGTTCTGATCTAACTAATATTCACTACTCTTGACCCTCTTTAGAGCAGCTGAGACATCACAGTACTCAGATCTTGCCTGAGGACACTCAGGTTGAGTTTTGACCCCTAGATGCCACATCATTTGTTTTTTGCCACTGGTTGGCATGTCTTGGGGGGAGGCTTCCCTCATAGCCCACTGACCGACACTTGGGTTAGAGGGAGGAAACATTTTCCCCTGCAGTGTAGAGAACTGTACCCAGCCAAGCTGCCTAGCAGTGGCGGGTGACTGGTTGTGTTTGAGGAAGAGGTGGTGACAGAAGAGTCTCTTCTGGTATCCAAGTGTATGTGCAACTTCCTGCCACTGAGGAGGAAACAGTACAAACCAACACTTGCTTCTCCTTTCTCCACTGTGGTCTTAGGGCTGGCAGGGAGCCCCACATCCTTGTGACCTCAGCCAGCTTTCCCAGCCCTACATGGAAAGAGAGATGCCCTGGACCATTCTGCTGTTTGCATCTGGTGAGTCTGAAGCTTGCCCTTGGGGGAAGCACCCAGCTGCCCTTCCTCCCTGTCCACCATGCTGCCCTCTGGGGCAGAAAGCACAGTGGGGCTGCCCTCTCCAGTTGTTAGATGAGTCGGATCCCCACAGAGTCAGCCTAGAGCCTGGGAAACGGCTTGATGGCCAGCCTTTTCACCTGAGCTTTCTCAACCCCTTTGAAGTTTTATAAAAATATCAGCCCACCAGTTCATGACTCAGCCCACTTGGCTGAGGCTGTGGCACTCCAGGACTGTGGCACTCAGAGTAAGGGCCTTGGGGACGTGTGATGTTAGGACAGGTTGGCTCAGAAGTTCCTGTGGAGTTTGTCTGCAGGCGTCCTGCTCAAAAGCCTAGGGACATAACACAGGGTGGAGTGCCTACCTGGGATGTATATGGCTTTGTGTTTATTTATTTCTTTGTTGAAAGAGGAGCTGTTAAGATGGCTCAGGGGGTAAAGGTACTTGCTGCCTAGCTTGATGACCTGAGTTTTATCCCTGACCTTCATATGGTGGAAGGAGAGAACCAACTCCTGCAAGTTGTCCTGTGACTTACACACACATACCACAGCACACACCTACACAGAATGAATAAAAATTTAGTTTAAAAAAAAAAAGACTAAACAAGGGGCTGGAGAGATGACTCAGCAGTTAAGAGCACTGAATGGTTTTCCAGAGAACCTGAGTTCAATTCCCAGCATTCACATGGCAAAACACAACTTTCTGTAACTCCAGCCCAAAGTGATCTGGCACCCTTTTCTGGCCTCCGCAAGGACATGCATGCAGGCAAATCACTCATACACAGAAAATAAATTTTAAAATGGATTGCCTCTGACTTTCTGGTCAGGAAGTTGTGACAGACAGACAAGAGACTGGTCCCTTCCTACAGAAGACCCACTCCAACCCCTCCCCCAACACCAAGAAGTAAGGCAGATTCCTCTGCCCTCCTGTCTTACTCTGCTCATCCTTCACTAACCACATGAACTCACCTCTTGGATTTTCTTTTTCTTTTCTGGTCTTGTGGATGAACCCAAGGTCTCTCACATGCTTGGCAGAAGCACTGAGCCACACCCCATACCCTCACTGGGGGACTCTAGGCAGGGGCTCTACCAGGGCTTCTTCCCACAGCATTTCCTCGTTAATCTTCCGAACAGTCCTTCTGCACTAGGAAAGCTCAGATTATATGTCACCTCTTTTGGGAAGGTCTCAGAGATGACCCCAGTTCACATGTAGCCCTTCCATTACCACCACTCCTCTTGGACTTTCCTGAGGTCAGCACTCACTCATGTTTGTTTCCTTTCTGCCCTTACTGTTTTCTGTGTATAGGTGATTTGCCTACTTGTATGTCCGGGCATTATGTGTACCTGTGGAGGCCAGAAGAGAGCGTTAAATCCCTTTGGACCTTAGTTCAGACTGAGATGTGAGCTGCCATGTGGATGCTGGGAATCACACCCAGGTCCCCTGGCAGTGCAGCCAGTGCTCTTAACCACTGGGCCCTGTCTTTAACTCCAGCTTCTGTTCATTTCTATAGTACATTGCCTTGTCCCTAGCAACTACAGCAGGGTCTGATACATATAGTATTGTTGATGGAACAGCATTGTATTGTTTTATGATAATCACTACCACTGTCAATAAAATGACTTAAATGATATATTTGGGGACTGGAGAGATGGCTCAGAGGTTAAGAGCACTGGCTGATCTTCTGAGGGACCTGAGTTCAATTCCTAGCACCCCATGGTGGCTCACAACTATCTAAGTTGAGATCTGGTGCCCTCTTTTGGTCTGCAGACATACAGGCAGGCAGAATACATAAATACATAATAAATAAATCTTAAAAAAAAAAAAAAGCTGGGCAGATTAAAGGTACACACCTTTAATCCCAGCACTTGGGACAAAGAGGCAGGCAGATCTCTGTGAGTTCAAGGCCAGCCTGATCTACAAAGCAACTTCCAGGACAGGTTCCAAAGCTCCCTGTATGGAAAAACCAAACTAAACAAAACAAAAAACACAAAACAAGGATTACTGACACACGTGCTGGGCACCTAACCTTCTATTCTTCTAAACAGTGATGAGTGTTTAGGAGTCACCAGTGTCTTGCTACTAACATTAAGGCTCAGGGGATCTACAGAAGGTATAGATCCCCAGCGCGCATGCACACGAACACTATAGAATAGGTAATCTGGTCCCACGAACACAGCCAGCTCAAACTGTCCTTCTTCATTGCAGGCTCCTTGGCCATTCCTGCACCATCCATATTCCTGGTGCCCCCCTACCCTAGCAGCCAAGATGATCCCATCTACATCTCGTGTACAGCCCCAGAGGACTTCCTAGGGGCCAATTTCACCCTGTTCCAAGGGGGAGAGGTGGTCCAGCTTCTGCAGGCCCCCTCAGATCAGCCTGGTGTGACATTCAGTGTGACGGGCAGTGAGACTGCTGGGGGGAACTTCCGCTGTCAGTTCAGTGTGATGGGAGAGCACAGCCAGCCCCAGCTGTCAGACCACAGCCAGCCAGTACATGTCTCCTTCCCAGGTAAGACTCCATGGAGAGCCCAGGCCAGTCTGCCTGTGCCCTCCCTAGGATGCTTTGGTGCAAGTCCAAGTCTACAGATCAGTAGGTCTGAAGGAAAAGAAGCAGCCACCTGATAGATACCCAGGACTTACAGCAGAGAAATGGTGTGGAAAGGCACTAAGACTGGAAGTTGATTTTGTGTGTTTGTTGGAGATCCCAGGAAGGCAGCAGCTCAGTGATCAAGGAAGAGCATGTGCATTGTGTCAGGGAGGTGACCCTGTATGGAATAGGGGGCCACAGCAGACATCTGAGTGAACAGAAGCCCTGGGAGGCCTCATATCTGTGTACTTTCCCTGAGACGGAATGGGTTTGCTTGATGAATCTGGAGCCCCATGTATGGGCTTAGGGGGAACTGAGTGCAAAGTGTAGTATGTGACAGGCAGCCAAGCCTCTCACAGACAAAAACAGAAGGCTCAGTGTGTGTGCTAGAGGCAGCTTGCTGCCATGCCTGACAGCTTGGCTTCAGTTCACCCCTTAGATTCCACATGGTGTAAGGAGAGAACCAACTCCCAAAAGTTATCCTCTGACCGCCACATCACACACATGCTATGGCATATGCACACTGTCTCCCCATGCTCAAAATAAATAAAAACGTAATTATAAAATTATTATTATTATTATTATTTTTTTGGTTTTTTGAGACAGGGTTTCTCTGTGTAGACCAGGCTGGCCTGAACTCACAGAAATATGCTTGCCTCTGCCTCCCAAGTGCTGGGATTTAGGGCACACACCACTACTACCTAGTTTACTAAATTATTTTTAAAGAGCAAGATCAGGCATGTAGCACAAACCTATAATCCCAGCACTCTGGAGACTGAGGCAGAAGGACTGCCATGAGTTGGAGGCTAGTCTAGGCTACATAGCAAGACTCTATCTCAACAACAAGTAGAAGATTTATCATGGTGGTGGACCATAGTTCTCCCAACACTTGGGAGGGGGAGGCAGGAGGATTAGAAGTTCAGGCCACCCTTGAGAGTGAGGAAGAGGCCTCCTGGGTCTCTTCAGGACCCCATACCCCACTGAGAGTCCTGCTGCCCACTATGTCTGCAGGTCGGTAAGGCCTCTGGCTTCTGGGCCCTACCAGCCTGAGTCCACTGTCAATGGCTCCCTTTCTCACCTGGGCCTTGTGGTCTTGCAGCCAAAAGATAAGACTGCCCCTCCTGCCACAGATGTGAATGAACAAGACCTAACCTTATGAGATAGCAGTCATCTCTCTCCTGTCAGCTGAGATCAGGAGCCCCAGCTCCACCCCACCTCAGGTTCCTAGAGTCCTTCCTCAATCTTTTGCAGACAAGGACTTGTGAAATGCCCATTCTTTACTTTTTAAAAGAAAATTTTAAAAGAGACTTAGGTGGCCAGGCTAGCCTCCACTTCCCAGTGCAGCTTCAGATGACCTTGAGCTCCTGATCCCCCTGTTCTCATCTCCCTAGTGCTTTGGGGACAGGTATGTCACATGCTCCCTTGGAGCTCCTGTCCTGAGGGATGGCTTATAGGCAGACATAGCAGCCCACTGTACGGCCAGGGTAGATGACATTGCCTCTTTAGTACCCAGACTGGAGCCACAAGATAAGTGCAGGTTAGTGAGATTTTAAAAACCCTCATTCAAAGGCAGGCAGCAGTGTTGCATACCTTTAATCACAGCACTAGCAACACAGAGGCAGGCAGATCTCTGTGAGTCTGAGGCCAGTCTGGTCTACAGAACGAGTTCCAGGACAACCAAGACTACACAAACCCTGCCTCGAAAAACCAACAAAACAAATCAAATATGAAAACAAGAACAACAACAACAACAAAAACAGAACAAAAAACCCATTCAAAGCCAGGTGGTGGAGGCCCATGCCTTTAATCCCAGTACTTGGGAGGCAGAGGCTGGCAGATTTCTGTGAGTTTGAGGTCAGCCTGGTCTGCAGAGTGAGTTCCAGGACAGGTTCAGAAATTACAGAGAAATCCTGTCTTGAAAACAATAAAAAACAAACCAACAAACAAAAAAACCCCAACCAAATAAACAAACTAAACAACAAAACAACCCCACCCAAAAACATTCAATATGGTTTCAGCAGCTAGATGAGAGCTAAGACGGGGAGATTTGTGCAAATAAGAGGTCAGCCTGGGCTATATAGGGAGTTTGAGTCTAGCATGGCCTACACAACAAGATTCAGGCCTTCCTGAGCAATGGAGCAAGATCTAGTTTTAAAAAGACAACAAGGAGAGCTAGCTCAGCGTTTTGGTGGATGGCTGCTGTTTCAGAAGACCTGGGTTCAGTTCCTACTTGGTAACTCACAACCACAACTTGAATCCATGGAGACCCACTGCCCTCTTCTGGCCTCCACAGGTACTGCATGCAAGTAGTACACAGCCAGCCATTCATGAAAGCAAAATACCCAAACAAAAAATAAATAACCAGGGCTGGGCGTTGGTGGCACATGCCTTTAATCCCAGCATTCGGGAGGCAGAGGGAGGAGGATCTCTGTGAGTTCGAGACCAGCCTGGTCTATAAGAGCACAGTCTCCAAATCTACACAGAGAAACCCTGTCTCGGAAAACAAAAAAACCAAACCAAAACAAAAATCAATAATAAAAATAAAAATAAAAAATAAATAGCTAATTATTACAAAAAAAAACATAGCTTGGCTTGGTGGTGCACATTTCTAGTCCCTAGCACTCACAAAGTAGAGGCAAATTCAAAACCAGCCTGGTCTACATATAGAGTTCTAGGCAAGCCAGGGCTACACAGTGAGGTCTTTTTGTTTTGTTTTTGTTTTTTTTTTTCAAGAAGGGTTTCTCTGTATTTGCTTTGGAGGCTGTCCTGGAACTAGCTCTTGTAGACCGAGTGCTGGGATTAAAGGCGTACACCACCACTGCCCAGCATAGTGAGGTCTTATCTCAAAAACAAAACAAACTTGGCAGCAGATGTGGCTACATGGCTAGAGCATTTGCCAGGCATTCTCAAAGCCCCGGGTTTTGTACCTAATCGTACCTAACATGGGCACATGCCTGTCATCCTAGCAGAGGCAAGAGGATCAGGGATTCAAGGTCATCCCTTACTATACAGCAAGTTTGAGGGCTGCATGGGACACAAATCTCCCTATTGGAAAAAGGGAAAGGGCATGCAAAAGAAAGAGATGAAAAAGAAATTGGATTTACCCACAAAAGGTTTTTGTTGGTTCACTGAAGGTGCATTATGTAAATTCAGACACGGCTAGAATTATAAAACCAAAGATGTACATAGTAAGAGCCTATCTCAAACAAACAAAAACCAAAACGGCAGGAACTCCATGTCAGCTTGCCCTCCTTCCCTGACTCATTAAGGATACCTTTCCCTTCATGGTGACGTAACCCTGTCCGGCAGCTCTAGGCACGTGTCTTGGTGCTCCAGTGCCAATTTTAGCCTCAGAGAAATGAGCCTTTAAAATAGCTTTTCTAGCCAGGTGTGGTTGCACATGCCATTAATCCCAGCACTTGGAAGGCAGAGGCAGGTGGATTTCTTTGAGGTCAAGACTAGCCTGGTCTACAGAGTGAGTTCCAGGACAGTCAAGGCTACACAAAGAAACTGTCTTGAAAAAAAAAAAAAGACTTTTATAAAAGCTCTTCTAAAATTAGTATTTATGTGCATGAGCATTTTTGCCTGCAGCTATTGAATATGTACTACATGTATGCTATACCAACGAGGCTGGAAAAGGGTCTTGTTTTATTGGTTTCTTGAGACAGGGTTCATATGACTCTACCTAGTGACAACCTAGTGACAAGTTGATATAAAACTAGCACAGCCATCTTGCCAGCTCTAAAATATCTTTTCTTAAATTGTGTTTTGCGACAAGGTCTCATACTGTAGCTCAGGCTAGTCTCAATCTAAATGTAATCCTCCTGCCTCAGACTGCTAAGGGCTGTGATTACATAGAGTCCTTTTTTTTTTTTTTTTTTCCTTTTCTTTTCTTAAGATAGGGTTTCTTTGTGTAGCCCTGGCTATCCTGGAATTCACTCTGTAGACCAGGCTGGCATGGAACCCACCTGTCTCTGCCTCTCAGTTGCTTGTATTAAAGGTGTGCACCATTATGCCAGGCTCATAGAACTCTTTTTAAAAATGTTTTCATGGAGGGTGGAGAGATGGCTTAGCATTTAAAAGGACTGGCTGCTCTTCCAAAGGACCCAAGTTTGGTTCCCAGCACCGACATCAGGCAGTTCACAACTGCCTGTAACCCCAGTATGAAGAGAACTGGCACCATTTTCCAGGATCTGTGGGCACTAGAATGTATTGCACAAGCCTCCATGCGTATAAATAAAAATACAAATAATGTTTTCATTAGCATGTATTAACTATACACAACATATATAAATGGATACACACCACACACATTCTCCATTTGTCAGGTCACCTAGATAGTTCAGTAGGTAAGGACATTTGCCCTCAGAATCCATCTCTGGGATCCATATGATGGAAGGAGAGAACCAACTCCTACATGTTGTCCTCTGACTTCCATGTACATAACTGTGGTGTTTGTGTGTGTGTGAGAGACAGATAGGCTAAATAAATGTAATAAAAATTTTAAATTACCATTCTTTATTTTTCTCTTGATTTTTCAAGACAGGGTTTCTCTGTAGCTTTGGGGCCTATCGTGGAACTCACTCTGTAGACCAGACCACAAATTCACAGAGATCCACCTGCCTCTCTACCTCCTGAATGCTGGGGTTAAAGGTGTGTGCCACCAATGCCCGGCTTTTTTTTTTTTTTTTTTTTTTTTTTTTTGAGTGTGTGTATAGGTCATTCTGTATCCTAGGCTGGCTTCAAGTTCTTTAGAACATGTTAGCCTTGAACTCAAAATGCTCAATTCAATTTTCCAAATGCCCAGAAGGAAGAAACTTTCTTGCTGGTCCAGAAGTCCTCACTGGTGGCTAACTGACTATGTACAAGTTTCCAGGCCCACCTACACTCAAGATGCTTGGCTGGAGTATCTCTTGGGTGAGGGTTGCCTGTTCTCCTGCCCTCCCAGCTCCTTCACCTGCCCCATTCTCTTCTCCCTCTAGTCCCTACCTGGATCATGGTGTTCTCCCTGAGCCTGGCTGGAGCAGCCCTCTTCCTCACAGGGCTGGTGGCTGTCGCCGTGGTGGTGGTCAGGAAAGGTAATGGGGCATGCAGCAACAAGGCCAGCTGGCAGCCTCCAATACTCTCAGTCTTCCTTTTTCCTCTTTTGAGCAGGGTCTCACCGTGTGGTCCAGGCTGCCCTGAAATCAATCACCATGTGGTCCTGGCTGGCCTGGAAATCACAGAGAGTCACTGCCTGTTTCTGCCCTTGGAATGCAGGCATTGTGCCACCATACCCATTTCCTTTTCTTTCCACTTCCCCTCTCCCATCCCCCGCCCCCAACCCCATCATGTCATTGAGGCTAATGGTGAAATCCTGTTTATTCCTGGATTTTTCTTTCTTTCCTTTTTTTTGGGGTGTGTGCACACGTGTGTGGCTAGAACTTGAAATCCTCTTGCCTCAGCTTCCCAAGTGCTATAATGCCACAACTATTTTACTTTTTTTTCATTTTATTTATGTATATGGGTGTCTGACTGCATGCATATATACACACTACATGCATGCAGTGCCCATGAAAGCCAAAACAGGGCATTGGATACCCTGCAATTGGAGTTACAAATGGTTGAGCCAACATGTGACATCTTCCATTAAGATGGGTTCTAAAAACTAACAACACATGACACCTTCCAAAAGATAGGTTCTGTACATTGACTGGGAAAAGCAAGCTCATGATAAGGATCTGAGGGAAGATCAGGTGTAGTCTCAGCCACACTGATGCCACAAGGTCACACACTATTAACCACACCCATCCCAACCTCAGCCTGCTGGACTGAAAGCAGATTATGCATCCCTTCCTTTGCAGAAATAACCCTGTGTGTCCAACACACCAGGTTCCCGTAGTGCTCACCTTGAGCACGAGATCTTCCATGGGAATTGAGCCTGGGGCCTCTGGAAAACCAGCCAGCACTCTTCTCAACCATGCATCATCTCTCCACCTCACCAGGACTGGTTGTTTTCAACCCATGTTTTCAAGAGCATAGAGACAGTCTAGGGAATTCTTTCACCAGAGTTCAGAAGTGAGGTGACAGGTGAAGGGAGTGGGGACTGACATATGGGAACCCTGGGTACTCTAGACTGTTTCTAGATGATCCCCTGAGGCCTCAAGATCAATGGAGGTTCAAATCTCTTGCATAAAAGCCATAATGGGCACACCTGTTATCCTAGCACTCACTAGTTGAAGGCAGAAGGATCAAGAGTTCCATGTCAGCCTCACTATATAGCAAGTTCAGAGATGAAAGTCTAGTCCCATTTATGTTCAACCATTCCCTCCAACTGTTTCTAGAACTTTCATCCTCTAAACCAGTGGTTCTCAACTTTCTTAACGCTGTGACCCTTTAATCCAGTTCCTCATGTTGTGGTGACCACAACCATAAAATCATTTTCATTCCTACTTCATAACTGTAATTTTGATACTGTCATGAATTGTAATATTAGAAGAAGTTAGAGGTCCACTGCTCTGGACTCTGTACATGAGACAGTGGCTCTGTTCACTCCACCCTCAGCTCCTGGCCACAATGGTGACTCCTTTCTAAACAGACTTTACTTACTATTATGGGGAGGTGTGTGCACCTTGCAAGATTCCGTTCCCTTTTTTCACCATGTGAGTACCCAGGATCCAACATAGATCATCAGGCTTGGCAACAAGTGTCATTACCTGAAGAGCCATCTCCCTATCACACCCTCACCTCAACCCCAACCCCCACTTTTGACAGGTATCATGTAGCCCAGGCTGGCCTCAAAATCACAGAGATCCACTCACTGAGATGCCACCACCACCCAGCTTGAAATTCATAGTTTTTAAGAAAAACAATTTTGCTGGGCAGTGGTGGCACACACCTTAAATTCCAGCACTCAGGAGGCAGAGGCAGGCAGATCTCTGTGAGTTCCAGGCCAGCCTGGTTTACAGAGTGAGTCCCAGGACATGCAAGGCTACAAAGAGAAACCCTGACTGGAAAACACAAACACACCCCCTCCCAAAACAAAAACAACAACAAAAAGAAACATAAGTAACCCTCCTTTCTTGCCTCTGCTTTCAGTTTGCAGGGATTACAGCAGTAAGCCACCACATTAGTTTTTTTGTTTTTGTTTTTTTAATGAACATACATTTATCTTAAGTCAAACCACAAAAAAGTAAGAGGCAGTAAGATCGCTCAGCAAAGATGCATACTTCTAAGCATATCTACCTAGATTTGATCCTTGGGACTCATGTAGGATAGCTGACTCCACAGCTCTAACCTTTCCTCTAACTTCTGCATATGCCCTATGGTGTGTGTACCCACACCCATTCAAGAACATGCATACATAGAGTAAATAAAGGTTAAAAAAAAAACCCACCTAAAATATGTCAGGTGAAGTGGTAGTACACACCTGTAGTCCCAGATCTCAAAAGGCTGATGGAGGATTGTGACTTAGAGACCCACCCAAGCTTGAACCTGTCTCAAACAGATCAAGGGGCAATGTCACACACCCATAATTCCAGCATTTACCAGGTACAAGGAGGACCAGGAGTTCAAAGCCAGCTTTGGCTACATAGTGAGTTCAGTCTAACTATGAGAAGGTGAGCATGCTAACGTAAGTTTTTAATCCCTGTACTCAGCAGGCAGCTCTCTACCTACAGTCTAGTGAGTTCTAAAACAACCAGGGTTACATGTGAAACCCTGCCTAGGAAACAAAACCACAAAAACAAAAACCAAGAAAGCTCTGTATATAGCAGCTTTTGTACTTAGTAGCAGATCTATGTGGATGAGGCAAGACTGGGTTCCACAGAGGTCAAGGGAGTTGTTGGTTTCATGGGTGTAGATATTTCTCAGCAGCTACCAGATCCAGAATAATCTAACCAATGTCTGTGTTTCTTCTAGCTAAAATAAGGAACTTACAGAAGCAGAGGTGAGACCTTCCAGGATGGTCTTTGAACACTTCATTGGCAGGGCAGACCTTCATCCTTTGCAGTGTTCTCTGGTGGGAGGGCTGACAAATGCATGGAATATGTATTATTTATTGAGTATTGCTGGGTGCCAGGATACTCACCACTTCTTCCCAGTGGTCCAGATGAACCCCATTTTCCAGATATGAATACTGAAGCCTGGATTCCAGTCACATGGGGCTAGGCAGCCAAGCTGCCTTACCTCCAGCTCACTACTGCCTGCCACAATATTGTCTCAGAAATGTAGATATTTGAAGTGGCATTCTTCAGGATTCTCACTGGGATTGTGCCATGTTAGACTTTCCTTAGAGGTGTCCCTAGTTGTCACTCAGTGTGATGACTAGAAAGAGAGTGCAGGCATTTGTGATGATGGGTAGGGGATGAGCAAGTGGTAAGAGCCAGCTATAGCAGGTGTCGCTGGGGAATGTTCTTGAACAAGAGTCCTACCCTTCAGGAGGCATCCTTTCTTCTGAATCCTTTTTCAGAGAGCGTGAATCCTGCTGGGCTCAGATCAACTTCACCAACACAGGTCTGTTATGCCCTCCGTGATACTCTGGGTGAAGTAAGCTTCAAAATCCTGTTGCTATTTGGACCCTTTCTATGGCCTCTTGTTGCTTGGGGTCCAAAACTGTCCCCTCCTGCTTCAGGAAATCTTCCCTGGTTCTCTGCACAGGCTCTGTGCTGTACTTCTGTCAGCACACTTGAGAGGTCAGAAGTGTTTGTATATTTATTTACTTGATCATGATTTATGAGTGTGCTGGAGCCAGCATGCCACAGTTCATGGGAGGAGGTCAGAGGAAAACTTGCATGAGTCAATTCCTTCCTTCTACCACGTGGGTCCTGGGGATTGAATTCAAGTCAACAAACTCGGCTTCAAGTGCCTTTACCTGCTGAGCCATCTCACTGGCCTTCCCAGTCTGTTCTATACAGTGAGACCTGTGCCGTCCCTCTATGTTCACAGCTTACTCTGTGGTGGCTGCAAAGAAGCAGGAGAGAATCCCGGAATTTGGACCCCAAGTCTTTCTGCAGGGTGGGTTCTGGGCGTTGAGCCCTTGGAGACAGGAGCAGGTGGGTGCAAGGCAGGGGCCCCACCCTTTGCTGACTCTGTGCTCTTTGTTTCAGACATGTCCTTTGATAACTCTCTGTTTGCCATCTCCATGGTGAGTAGCTCTTTTTCTTAGTCAAGTTTCCTGAAAACCAACCAGCTAAGAGGGGAAGTGTCAGTGGGAATCCTCTGACTCTGAGCTTGAGAACCAGGAAGAAGCCCAGAGTCACCAAGAAGCAGCCTGGGGCTGCTTATGAGAGACTAGGGGATCACAGGGCCATATTGTCACTGGATTGGGTTCAACCCTTGAGAATGGTGAGAAAAGGTTTGGGGTGACCCCGCAGCCTCTTCAGTTCCCCATGGGGAGCCTCGTGGCACTCTGATATGCTCTTGTTTCTTCCAGACAATAAAAACAAAAACTTATTTTCAAGTCAGTATAGGGGCTCACTCACTCCTCTAATCCCAACACTTGGGGGAGGTGGAGACAGAAGGACTAGAAGAGGGCCTTCAGTTTGAGACTAGCCTGAGCTACCCAGTGAGGTATAGGTCAACCTGGGCTACAGAGTCCCTATCCCCACACTTTATTTATGGGGTACCACAGCATTACATGTGGTCAACTTGCTGAAAGTTGGTTCTTCCTTCTACCATGTGAGCTCCAGGAATCAAATTCAGGTCATCAGATTTGACCAAAAGTGCTTTTAGCTGCTGAGCCCTCTCACTAGCCTGAGTTCCCATCTTAAAACAACGAGGAGGGTAAAGTGGCACACACCTTTAATGCTAGCACTCAGGAGACAGTGACACATGGATCCTTGAAGTTTGAGGCTAGGCTGATCTATAGAGTGAGTTCTAGGACAGCCAGAGCTACACAGAGGAACCCTGCTTCAAAAAGACAACAAAACAAAAGATGGACACAGTTGCATTGGTAGAATGAGAGCCTAGTGTATGAAAGCAGGGGTTCCATACTTGACACCACATACACAAAGAAAGAGGAGTGAAGGAGCTGGGGAGAGAGGTTTGCACGGGCCTGTTACATCTGTTGTGGCTTCAGCTCTTCGACAATTCCTGTACTGTGCAGGACATGGTGGCTAACACTTGGGAGGCTAACGCAGGTAGACTGCTGCAGGTCTGTCCCAGTCTGGGGCAGCCAGGACCATGCAGCCCCTAAGGCTTTTTTCTGTTGTTAGGTTTGGGATGGATCTTGTTTCCAGACAGGTTGGTCACAAACTCACTATGTTGCTGAACACCTGATCATCTTATAGCTACCTCTCAAGTGCTGTGATCGCAGGTGTGCACCACTATATTCTTTTTTTTCTTTTCTTCTTCTTCTTTTTTTTTTTTTTTTTTTTTTTTTTTTTTGAAACAGACTAGCCTCGAACTCACATTGATCCTCCTGCCTCTGCCTCCCAGTGCTGGGATTAAAGGTGTGTGCCACCAATGCCCACCTGCACCACTATATTGTTTATGTGGTGCTGGGGATGGATCCCATGGCTTCCTACATGAGGCAAATATTCTGCCATATGTGTCACATGTTTTACTTACTTTTGAGACAGGGTCTCAGTATGTAGTCATTCCTCTTATTGTTCCACAGCTGTATAAAACACTGCAACACACACACACACACAGAGACCCCTACACCTGTCTTGGGCTGAGTATATACTAATAGTCTCAAGCCCTATTTCCTGCTTTTCTTGATTTGCCTATTCTCATATGAACAATATATTTCTCCTTCTGACTGGCTAATTGGCTAGTTCTACCTCACATAGTAACCTTAGGTTCATCCCATTATTTTAATTAAAAAAATTTTTAATGGTGTTTTGCCTATATGTGTGACAGTGTTGGATCCTGGAGTTACAACAGTTGCAAGCTGCCAAGTGATTGTTGGGAATTGAACCTGGGCTCTCTAGAAGAGTAGCTAATGCCCTTAACTGCTGAGCCTAATCTCTAGCCCCTATTCTATTTTTTTTTTTTTTTAAGGAGGAGCTTTCTATGTAGTCCTGGCCACACTGGAACTTAGAAACCCTCCCTCCTCCCACTTCTATGTCCTAAGTGTTGGGATTAAAGGTGTAGGCTATTAGACCTGGCTTCTTTCTTTAAGACAGGGACTTACCAGTTGGGGAGTGGTGGAGTATACCTTTAATCCTGGCACGAAGGAGGCAGAAGCAGAAAGATCTCTGTTAGTTCAAGGCCAGTCTGGTCTATATAGAGAGGAGTTCTTGACACACACACACACACACACACACACACACACAAAGTCTCGGCATTTAGCTGGTTGGCCCCGAACTATGTAGATCAGGCTGCCTAGAAATTTACGGAGACCTGCCTGTCACCATTTCCTCTGAGTGCTAGGATTAAAGGCGTATTTCCCTGGTGTATTTCCCTTTTACAAACAAAAACCCTGTGTCTAGACAGGGATCTTACTGGGGTCATTGGTTAGGGAAGACCAAAGCTCTGAGGGGACCTCAGCCTGCCTCAATCACCTGGCTTTAGTTCCTGAAAGGTTTTGGAGGAGCCCGGATTGTGGGGGGCAGTATACAAAGGTGAACTGGCATATCAGGTGCCAGCCACTTCATGGACCTCTTTTTAGGCCCACAGTGCCTCTAGGACATGGATACTATCAACTGAAACTAAGGCCTAGGAGAGTGATGCCAGGCTGCTAGGGAATAACAGAAGTGGGAAGTGAGCCCAGGTCTGTGGCCCTTCTTCCTCAGCTGAGAGAGGACAGCAGGGGCACAGCCACTGGAGGGTGAGATACAGGGACGAGAGGACTCGGAATAGGGGGACTCTCAGATTCTTACATCCCACATCATTCAGTTCTTTTTCTTCCATGGACAAAGAAAATGACTCAGGAAGACCTGGACGAGCATCAAAAGAGGCCCACCTCTACATCCTCCTCTGCGGCGCTCCCTGAGTTCAGCACTTTCCGGACCTGCCAGTGAGGCAGAGGAGCGAAGACTGCTTGTTCTCTGTCTCACTCCTCACAGCTGCACAAGCCGAACATCTGTCCAGAGACTTGGTAGTGGGGAGGGGTTAAGCCAAGGCTTTCTAAGAGGATAGACTGGCCAGAGGAAATGGACTTCCGGTGTTGTGACCTTCATAGAAGACAAGAGAAATAGGTTATCAGTCTAGAGGCTGGAAAGAAAGCCAGAGCCGCTTTGTAGATTCCCTGGATTGGTCAGATCCCATCTGGACACCCAGTCTACATTCTGTACCTCTTCTCCTGTGCTTCCCCAGCTGCACCCAACTTTCAGACTGGGTTTTTTTTTTTGGGGGGGGGGGTTCTGCTGTTTCTAGACAGGGTCTTACTGTGTAGCCTTGTCTGTTCTGAACTCACCATGTAGACCAGGTTTGCCTCAAACTCACAGAGATCCACCTGCCTCTGTTTCTAGAGTGCTGGGATTAAAGGTGTGCACCACCATGTCCAACTTTAGGATGTTTTTGCTGTTGTTGTTCGAGGCAGTGTTTTTCTGTGTAGACCTGGCTCTCCTGGAATTTACTCTGTAGACCAGGCTGCCTGACTCTGCCTCCCAAGAGCTAGGATTAAAGGTTCACACCACTCCAGCCCAACAGGGTGTATGTTTTCTTAGTGACACAATTTCACCTTGTAGCTCAGGCTGGCCTGGAGATCACATCATCCTGTTTCTGCCTGATTATGGGCTTGTACCATTGGAGGTGGGAGGCTTGGGAAGAGGCTAGCTCCTGTTAAAATAACCCTGAGGCCTCAGGTAGTCTTTAAATGTGGGACTGCATGGCTTGGGGGATGGGGAGGGAGATGAACTGACGATGTTGGAGGTACCACACCATTGAACTTCAGTTAATGTGGTGTATGAGAAATGTTTGAGGGAGCAGGAAGGGAATGGAGCATTGTGGAGACCAGGAATGTGGGAACAAATGCGTCTTAAGAACCAAGAGTAAATTAGAGGTCCCAAAGGGCCCACCAAAAAGTGAACAGCAGAAGACACTGTTGAACACATTATCTAGCCATTACTGGAGGGCCTGAGAGTGAACTGGAGAGAAAGCAAGGTCCTGTGGAGAAGCTGAAGAATTCCCTCAAAGACTGAAATTCAACGTGAATGTCAAAGTGGGACTGTGGGTCAAAGTGCTTTTATAGTAGAGCAGTATGGGGCGGGGCCACAGGCAGGGTCCTGTCTGCAAGCCTGCCCCTATCACAGGTTCTTTCTCTACCAGTGAGAAGAGAACAAGGGTGAGCGCCTCGCTAAGAAGGTCGGAGACTTGGCTTGGGGGCGTGGCCGAGCATCAAGTTTGGAAACCCTTCTAATTCCCCAGGCCCAGAAGCGGTCATATGCAGGACCCTGGCCAGGAAACGCCCGGCCTTCCCGAAGCAGAGCACCGCCCCTGGACTCACGCTTCTGCCCCACCCTCAGAGCTCCTGCATTTTGCTACTAACCGCGGCCCTTCTGGGGCGGAGCTAGCTCTCCTCGGGGCGGATCCTAGCGGCCGAGCGCCTACTCACGCCCGAGCGTGGTCGTTCATTGGACGCCGGTCTAGGGGCGGAGCCCAGACTTCGAGGGGGCGTTTCTTCTTAGTCGGGCATCGGTCACAGACTCAAGGTCCTCTGCCTTTCTTGAGCCACTCCATCATGCTACAAAGCATGGTCGTTCGCGTGCAGCAGGCCTGGGGGCGGGGCGTGGCCGAGCGGCCGGGAGCTGCTACAAAGCGCGGTGCTTCACAAAACGCCGTCTGGGGGCGGGGCCGTCTGGTCCTTCCGGGGGCGTGTCCGACAGGTCAAGCACCGCCTCCTGACGCATGCCCTGCCCATCTCTCCAGAGCAGCTGCGCTGTGGCACAAAGCGCCGCTTCACACACAACGCGGCCTCGGGGCGGAGCCTAGCCCCCTTGGGGGCGTGCCATAGCTATAAGCACCGCCTCTCGACGTAGGCTCCTTTACCCGGCGTGCCGGGGCGGATAAGCCACCTCACAAAGCGGCGACCGTTCCCGCGGGGTGGGGCCGGCCCCACCCACGTCGTGCTCGTTCTCGCCGGGTTTCCTCTAGCGCCAGCAGGGGGCGCTGCGCCACCAAGCCGGCCCGTGGCGGCGGCGGCGAGGCGGCGCGTGGCCGGCAGGCGGCGCGCTGCCAGGCTCGGCCTCGGCCTCGGCCTGCGCGGCGGCGGCGGCCTGGGCCCGGGTGCGGCGGTGGCGGTGGCCGTGGTGGCAGCGGGGCCTGGAGCCGGACCTAAGATGGCAGCGGCGGCGGCGGCGGCTGTGGGGCCGGGTGCGGGGAGCGCGGGGGTGGCGGGCCCGGGCGGCGCGGGGCCCTGCGCGACAGTGTCGGTGTTCCCCGGCGCCCGCCTCCTCACTATTGGCGACGCGAACGGCGAGATCCAGCGGCACGCGGAGCAGCAGGCGCTGCGCCTCGAGGTGCGAGCTGGACCAGATGCGGCGGGCATCGCCCTCTACAGCCGTGAGTGCCGGGGACATCCTGGGGACGGCGGCGCACGAGGCCGGCAGCGCGGGCGCCGGGGGAGGGGGCGGGCGAGGGGACTCGGGCCGAGCCAGTGCACGCGGCTCCCTAAGCCCGCCGGCGAGATGGCAGAGAAGGCGTGCGCGGGGACCAAGGAGCCCGAAGAGGGGCGCGGGAAACAGTCGGGAGCCTGAGATTTGCGGGGGGGGGGGTCGTGGCAGGAAGTGGGGCCCCGAGGATTCAGGGGGGGGATAATACAGAGGGGACTGGAGAGGGAGCGATTGAGGGGGCTCCTCAGCGGGTGTGGTTTGTAGATCTCATCTCAGGGGACATCCTCTGCACACGCACAGGGACATTTGAAAAGTGGCTTTCAGTGTGGAGCTCCTGGAAGACTGGGTGCCGCCCTTGTGGAGGAGGACTTGGAATTTCGGACCACACACACACACACACACACACACACCTCGATTGGTAAACTTTAGAACTGGTTACAGAGATAAAGATTCCCATCCCCATCCCGCTTGGAAACGAGGAAGAGGGGAAGGCCGGTTTGCTGATGGCCGGCTTTAGAAGTCAAGAGGTAACTCCACCTCCCTCGACACGCGCCTCTTGTCTTCTTTTTAAGGACGTGAGAAGCTGGTGACATTATCAGAAGCTGCTTCAAAAACTGACATTTCAGTGGGGGAAAGGGGGGAAAATCACAGTGTGTTTGCGAAGGGCAGCCCCCACCCCCAAGCTTTGTAGTTCACCTTTATTCTTTCTCTTGTTACTCTTTCTTCTGGCGATTCCTCAGTGGCATTTTGCTATTCTGTTTCACGGTCTTTGTCTCCCAGGGTTTCGTTCACTGATGCTCTTAGGGGGCCACCAAAGAGAACCGGATTGGTTTTGGCCTGTGGGAATTTTCTCCCCCTCGGTAATGGGCTGTTGGAGTCTCCTCTTTGCCTTGACTTTGAAAACACTGGAGAAAGGAATGTGTCTGGTGCGCAAATGTGGGGCACCTTTGAGGGCTGGGGCAGAGATGGGGTCTACTTGACCACATGAGGGAAAGTGGAATTTCACAGATTAGGAATTTAGGACTGGTAAGGAAGTGAAGCTCTCCAGGCCCCCAGACCCCTAAGTAAGCTGGAGGTACCTGGGCCTATCCTGGAAAGTGTTCTGGGAAGCTGGATGTGGTGGTGTCAGCCTGTAGGCTCCACACTTTGTAAAATGAAGCAGGAGGACTGAAAGCTTGAGTAAAGCTTGGGTGATGTGGACAGATCCTGCCTTAGTCACCAAGACAAAGTACTAGATGGCTTGTGTTGTGAACTTGACAAAAACCACTTTTTATTATTTGGTTTTTTGAGGCAGAGTTTCTCTGTGTAGTCCAAACTATCCTGGAACTCAACTATGTGGACCAGGCTGGTTTCAGACTCACAGAGATCCTTCTGCCTCTGCCTCCTGAGTGCTGAGATTAAAGGCTAATTTTTATTTATAGAATTTATTAAATTTGCATAATTGTTAGTTCCCACATAAGCCCTTACATCCAACTTTCCTCCATTCTTGGAAGCTCATCTTATTCCAGGAGAATCTGTATAGTTAGTGTTCTTGTTTGCTTTAATTATCTAAGTAAGTTGCTGGGGGCTCAGCATCAGTGGGGTCTGTTTCCAGCAGTGAAATAAGAGAGATGATCATGGACTAGTGATATTGCTCAGGTAGAACATTTGCCTAGTAGTAAATTTGAGGCCTCGGGTTAGGTTCCCAGTACCACCAAAGCTGACAAAAACAATCCTGAAGTGCCAGGTGTGTGGGTACAGGCCTAAATACCAGCATTTAGGGTACTGAAGCAGGGGAAACTCAGTGGTTTATTTTGTTTGTTTTGTTTTGTTTTTCCTTGGGACAGGGTTTCTCTGTGTAGCTTTGTAGACCAGACTGGCCTCAAACTCACAGATATTTACCTTCCAAGTGCTGGGACTAATGGTATGCACCACCACTGCCTGGCCATTGTTTTGTTTGTTTTATTTTTGTTTTTCAAGACAGTTTCTCTGTGGCTTTGGAGCCTGTCCTGAACTAGCTCTTGTGGACCAGGATGGTCTTACAGAGACCCTCCACCTATGCCTCCCAAGCACTGAGATTAAAGGCCTGCACCACCACCACCTGGCTCATTGTCTTGTTTTGATAGAATATTGCAATTGTTGTTGTTGTTGTTGTTTTTTGTCTTTGTGTAGCTTTGTAGACCAGGCTGGCCTCAAACAGAGACCGGCTGCCTATGCCTCTTGAGTGGTGGGATTAAAGTTGTATGCCAACACAACCCAGCCACCCCATTTTTATTACATATATTTATCTATTTGTGTTTGTGTAGGGGTGTCTCATGTCACAGTGAGAATTTGGAGATCAGAGGACAACTTGAAGAAGTTGATTCTTTCTTTCCACCATATGGGTCCTGGGAATTAAACTAATCTCATAAGATTTGGTAGCCAATTTTGAGACAATCTTGTGTTTTCCAAACTGGCCTTGAACTTTGTAACCTAAAGTGGCTTTGATTATTGTGCTACTTCTACTTCCTTCCTGTTGGGATTATAGACTTGTACCACATCATTCCTGACTTTGGGGTGTGGTTAAACATGGGTTCTGAAGACAGGCCAAAGCTGGGTGTATAGATTTCCAATGGTCTTTGTAACAATAAGTTTGGTGGATTAAAGCAGTTGGGATGGATATACTCCCTCATTTCCTGGCCACACTCTGAAATAAAGGTGTCTCCAAGGTCATTTTCACTCCGGAATGGAGGGAAGAAGATTCCTTTCTTGCAGATTCCAGTGGCTCCAGGAACTCCTTGGCTTTCTGTAGCCAAACTAATCACCCCTCACTTCCTGTGGCTTCTCATTTGCCTCTGTGCACTTGTTTCCTACTTTTGTTTTGAGATGGCCTCATGTAGAGCCTTCTTGGGGCCCCAAAGCCAGAAGACATTGACCTGTTCATAATGAGGCTGTATGCTTCCAGCCAAACTGTGTTTCTAGACCCCAGGATCTGAATTTGTACACAGGGTGTAAGGAAGGTTTATCAAAATATAAGCTTTTGGAGACAGGGTTTCTCTTGTGTAACAGCCTAGGCTGCCCTCAAACTCGCAGAAATCCGCTTGCCTCTGCCTCCTAAGTGCTGGAATTAAAGGCATGTGCCACCACTGTATGGTCAGAAGGAATCTTGTAGTGATTTAAATGTGTAGAGATCTCTGAGTCTGTAAGGGCCCTGAACTAAGGAGTCTGGCAGGTACTGGTCAGTCATGTAGCTTTTAGTTAGCCTTATGACTATCTGCGCCTATTTTCTTACCTGCAGCAACACTTCTCTGCTTGGTATGTTCCTCTGGTGGGCTGAAAGGCTTGAAGTTGAGAAGGTTTTGTGGAGCAAGGGATTTGTAGCAAGTATTTGTCAACAGTACATTTCTAAAATTATATGTTCTTTGGTAATTTCACATATGGATACAATGTATTTGGATCACATCCACAACCCCAACAACATTTTTACAGATGTTATTTTTATTTTATATTATTATTGTTACTAATATTTTGAGACAGTGTTATATTGCTCAAGCCAGTTTCAAATACACAATGTAGCTGATGACCTGATTCAGTTCCTGAACCTCTTGCCTCCAGTCTCTCCAGGGCTGGGAGTACAGACATGCAGCATGCACCATGCTGGTTTATGGTATACTGAGAATGGAAACCAGGGCTGCATGTATGGTAGGCAGATGTTCTACCCACTGACCCTCAGCCCTAGTTATCAGGATATCATAGGAAAGAGTAGTTTTCTAGGATGTCCCCTTATATTTTGTACTCCATGATGGGAGAGAGATTCTTGGGCCTCCATTTCTGGGTAGCTGTGCCCTTCATTGGGAAATGTGGCTGCTAGCTCCAGAAGGCTCCATTCTGGTCTCCCTGCAGAGTGGTTACCCTTCCCAACTCTCCTAGTCATTTGAAGTCACTCTAGCTGCTATCCATGGGGATTGGCCACATGTCAGGTAGCTACCATAACCAGGCTTTCCCTGGCCTTGAGGAAGTGTGGCATGGCCTGTACTGTAATACAGGCTGCCACCCCTGGAAGGAGGCTGCTTCTCAGAAAAGCCCAGCCTGGACTGCCCAGAAGAGCAGAGTTGACTTTCAATTGTTCAGCCTGGCAGCATGCCATCTAAAGATGCTCAGGTCATTTTTCTGTCTTGGTCAGCAAGAATGAGTTTGGATGATGTCCTGCTTACTCCTCGACTCCTTAGGAAGAGTTATTCTGTCTGATAAGGAAGAGCTGATGTCATTTCGGTAAGAGGATGGAAAGGGTAGAGGAAACCCCTTTATTGGGGTTAGGCTGTATTCAGTTGGTATGCATATCTGCCTGATATGCATAAAACAGTCTTGCATAATCCCTATATCAGCCAGACATGTTGCTTTACACCTATAATCCCAGCACTGGGGGTAGTTAAGCAGGCAGGTCTGGAGTTAAAGACCAGCCAAGGCCACATAGTGAGTTCAAGGTCAGACTTGTAATAAAGCTAGACTAGTCACAGAATCAAGGGCCATAGTGACTTCCCCCTGCCAACTCCTGAGTAATGCCAGAAAGATGATCTTCTGTCATCTGCATATTACTTATGGCTGTTGTCATTTATTTTGTACTTACTTTGTACCAGACTGTGTGTGAGCTCCTGTTGCCCAATTCAAGTGCTTGACCTTGGGATCAGTCAGGGAAAGAACAGTGTAAACCAGTGCCTATTGGTAAAAATGGAGCCTATGGTCTATTTTTATACAGTCAGCTAGAAACGTTTACAGTTGTAGGGGTTGGGGAAAAAAGTAGTCAACATTCCACAAAGAATACTCAGCCAGGACCATGTTGCCCTATAAACCCTGGAGTATTTACTTGTGGGTACAGTGAAAGCTTGTAAACAGTGGCATAAAGAATGAGGCAAGCAAGTATCACAAGTCTTAATCCCAGCACTTAGGAAGGAGGCAGAGGCAGGTGAATCTCTTAAGTTTGTGGTCAGCCTG